CGCGGGGATTTCGCTCATATTCCTGAATTTATGTTCATTTAATTGCAAGTGAAATTGAGCATACCCTATGAAAGAATATTTCAAGTCTGCAGTTTGTGATGACAGGTGAGTTCTCCTAGGAAGCTTAATGACTGAATCTGCTGCCAAATTTTGGATGCTATCTTAAATGATTGCTTAATTTACTAAGTTTTCTTGAAACAGACAAAAGTTCCTGGATAACCTTTCGGCCTTGGTCGATGAAAGTGGAATCTGATTTTTTTGGGCAAATAACCTGACCGATACCTTTAGCGAACCGGTGATGAAATGGTACTACGCCCTTGCAAAAAATTTCGGGGGAAAAATTAGAATATCTTGTCGGTTAACATTGGCTGGCTCACCGTTCTCATGATCATTGTTAAATAGTACACAACCGACACCGAAAACTCGACACATCGCTACATGATGGGAAAACACGATGGCATCTTGGACGCATCATTTATTGTTCATTATTGAAATTGAAAAATATGCTCAATAGAACGTGTCCCACATAGCGGAAGGCGTTCTTGGTGGCAGCAATGCTCGATGTTCAATCAGCGTTAGCAATCAACGTGTGGAAGCGAGAAAAGTGGCTACAGCGCTGGTCGTTTAAGAGTAAAGCCGCGTTCATACATAGTGACTCGGCGTTCCGGGAGCACTAGCGTTGTGAGGGAATCGACGTTGCGAGAGAAACGTCGTCATAGGGAAAAGGAAAACATTTGTGTGACGTCACATTATCGACCTGATATTTTTTGAGAATCACCGTTTCAAGAGGGAGGTATCGTAGGTATCGATCCAGACACAACACGCTGATTCGTTCAAAATGTTAGTTCTCCCAGAGCGGCAAATCGATACCTATTACTTCTTTTTACTCAAAACGCTAACTCGCCCAAAGCGCTGAGTTTCCCAAAACGCCTAGGTAGCAGTTATGAATTGAATTCAAAGTAGGACTCAAACACCTTTTGTCAGCAGACGACGAAAAATTCCAGATGTTCATGTATGCATTTCTGCGCGCCAGATTTTGATCAGTAGATCAGTAACCTGCAAAGATACTGAAGATAAGAGAATGATGATGATGATGAAATCTGTGCATTCATTCCACGGTGCCCAGGAAAAGTGTCGAGTTTCTGATGCTGATCTCTTTACTCATAGCTTAGCGTTCCTATGATAACTGAGATAAGTATTACAGGTTCCGACAGCCCTCATTTGTTTTCTGTTTTCTCCCATCTTAGGGCCTTTTCTACTAGACGATTTGGTTGTCCTCTCATACGATAAAATCACGTCACCTCTACCACAGGGTATGTAACAGGTATACATATGTACACTCCTCGACGTCATCATATTCTCCCCTCTGAGAAGACCTACATCAAGGAAAAACAGTAATGCGTCGAAAAAGCACGGGTGAGGATTATGGGGTTTCAAGGATTCGGACTATTTTCCTTGACTTTGATCCGCGTCTCGCTGATACTGCTTTTAGAAAGTGACAAAGATTCGAAGACTTATGAACGAACACGTTGAATCCAGAAAAGGCAGTACGGTCGCGCGGAGTTTTCCAAATGTTAGAATGTCGTTATACTGCGGCAAGTTTCATGTAACAGTTTTTTGCTTCACTGAATCCTTTTCTTGAAAAGATTTCGAAGCGTGCCTGATATAAATAATTAGCAGCTGTCAACTCAGTTATACACAGCAAATTGAGATGGATAGACCAATCGTCTATTTTCAGCAGCTTATTGTTTGTGCGATTTTGTTGAAGATTACAGCCACATTCCATCATCTTCCACTACGTGAAGAATAAAAATTTGTCATAATGGGCCTGCCGGCTAAACTCATACTGCTCTAGAGGCAGGGTCCGCGTTAATGAGCGCAACTAGTAGTGTTGGAATATGGAGGAGAAGTTATCAAGCGGCTCGTCTGTGTAGAGATAATGCCTCCACCTCAAACGATTGTGCGGGTAGGAGACCAGAAGACCGTGCGTTGAGACGAGCTCAGTAGGCCGATTCCTTGTACTGGACCCTATTACCTCATAAGAGACACTAGAGCACCTGTTTCATGGGTATTTGTCCAGTGGCATCGCCTTTGGCTGGAAGGGGTTTTAGGGCGGAGTATGGAGGCGGTGTCTTTGGAGAAAGTAATTTGCTGGTAACTTGTAGCAGCTCTGCTCCATTCGACCGGGCAGCCTCACGAAGAGGGCCACGGGAGGAGCGACAATGTCTAAAGTTCAGCGAGAATGAAACGCGATCAATCTAGACTCGAAAGGAACCGCCGTCGAAAGTGTGGTGTCAGTGAAGAAGCTTAGCGCCTCGACTCCTTTACATCGCAAGTTTCCACCACGAAACTGCCACAGTTGTTCCTTGCGAACCGCGCTATCCCTTCTCTCACCTAACGACATCTTGTACTCTCGCGGTACTGGAATGAGCTCCGTTACCGTGTGGATGTGATCACCAATTCCGTCTACAGCTTTGCAAAATGCTGTTTTCGAAGGAAATTACAACCTTTCTGAAAATGGTCATGTTACAGTGTTGATAGTGTAAGGTGGGATCCAGCGCAACGCCAAAATGCGACGCAGCTGAAACGAAACCGCATTAAAAATTAGGTCGTTCTGAGCAGCCAAACTTAGCGCCGGAGTCCGTACTCGGGACGATTCTCCGCAACGCGATGTTTGACCCTGCCCGCAGCGCTTTATGTCGACAACTGCACGACTGAAGTTTCACGCTTCTTGAGAAAGGTAATGATTAAAGAACGTCACTAGTGTTGGGGGAAATCTTGCAATATAGCCCTCAACCTGAGTAACTCCTCTGGCATGACACTCACCCCTCTACTATCCTCCAAAATTCTATCTACTTCCCACCATTTTTCAGAAGATTTTGTTCCAGAAGTCTCCACATTTTCTTCCAAAAAACACCATTTTTCAGAAGATTTTGTTCCAGAAGTCCCCACATTTTCCTCCAAAAAACAAGTCAGCACACCCAACAATACTGGAGCGCTGTTTGAAAAATATAAAAATCGGTATGCAGATTCAAGTCCCGTCTGAGCTCAAGACTTTTGCCCATGTCAACCATTCCTGTCATAACTTCTCCAGCGCAAACTGTGAGAGCAGAGAGTAATTTTCATGATGAATTCGCTACCCTAGCTTCCTTTTACGAGCAACACGGACCGGTTAGTCCCTAAAACTGTTGCGCCCGAGAAAATCGACTTTGTGAAGACACCCTTCTCCCGAAAGAGCGTAGAAAGGAAAAATTATTTGGAGTTATTCAGAGGAGCAATCTACGTATGAGCGGAGACAGAAAACCACTGCTTTGTAGCTCATCCTCCCTACCACTATATGAAAAGGAGAGGCGATATAATGCGGAGGACACAGCGGTTCCAGAAAGCCTCCTCCAGAACCAGCGGGCGCGTTGGATGTGCGGATGGGGTTGTTGGGTACTATTGATACTCATTCTACTATTTCTCTCAACAAATGAAATATGCACCACTATTTGCTAGGCCACTGGGCGAAATAGATGCACCAGTAGGTACTAGGAGTAGCGCTTCATTACAACCCCACCCACATGCCGCAAATAACCCAATCAAAGAGCAACTGAACCAACTCAGAGAGGTCACTAGAGACCCATCGATTGTTATTTTATTTGTAGAACGATTAAAGATATTATAGTACACAAGGAGTTCTTTCCCAACTAGGCAAGGTGAAGCCCAACTGCATACGGACATGTAAAGTTGCTTCTATGGCAAGCGTGTAATTCGCAACCGGTAATCCGTATACCAATACTTGGACTAATCAATGAAAGTTCCTTTTTCACGAGATATAGAAGCGAAAAAATGGAACACGTGGAGAGTTTGGAATTTTCACTGGACCATTATCCGATTGAAGCTTTCACATCATATCCTAATCGTGGTTTTGAAGTTAGCACATCCATGGTCATGTATATTGCACCCAAGAGATTTTGCCATCGATTTCTTCGAGCAGCCTACAATCTTGTTCGCTGTGGATGATGGGGCGTGTCAGTGAGGCTGTGAGTGGAGGTAGAGTTTCGCGCGCCAGAAACCCGTTCTCCATCAGTTATCGAAGCGGGTAAGCTTCAAAAAGAGGTGGGAAGACTAATACGAACGACGTGATACAGTCTTGTTGTCCGCGGAAGAAAACCGGACCGGATGTCCGGTGTGTACTGTCTACAACCTCTCCCGCTTCCGCTGTACGGGCTGGTTGAACAGCACTGTAACTGGATATGGAGTGGGTGCCTCTAGATGAATCACTCCTGGGAGCGCCAGCGGCTAGATCCCCCAGAAAGGGCAGAACCGATCGCGCAATCCTATCAATCCAGTAGGGCGGTGAGGCTGTGTATGTGGTGGGGTACCTTTCTCCGCTCTCGAAACGGAATTCCTTCCTTCCAACGCTATGGTAACCAGGGAGCCCTATTGTAATCAACTGCAAAGTGGGGTGGAAAATCTCTACCATTTGGTCCCAAAACCGAGCAATGTTTGCCTACTCCACCACAGCTCAGGGTCACACATTTGGAAAACGACACTGCTCGAGATCCCGAAGCTTAGCTGGGGAATTCCACCACAGTCTTCGTGTAGCCCTGACTTAGCTCTTTCCGATCGCCATCTAAACTAATCCCACAGCGGCCATCTTCTTGGTAAAAAATACGATTTTTGATAGTACCTCAAAAATGACCCAGCTGCCTTTCTGGGCACAGAACTAAGAGGCTTCTGGAAGCAGGGCAACCACATTGCGTAGTGATTGGCAACAAGTTGCCAATGAAGGTGACATATATATAGTTGATCAAAATTGCTTCCCACTGGAATAAACTTAATTCGAAAAAATGTTGAAAGTGTCCACGAACTTTTGGGACAACCTAATATAATATCGTTCATGAACACGCTTTCCCTGAAGAGGTAAACATAAAACTCGTTGTCCTGCGGGAGACATCCTCTTTTGTCGTTGCCATGCTTTGAAGTCATGCAGAATGAATTGACGCACATGTTTATTAATTAGCAACTGTAGCCGTACTGAGATCGTAGCCATAATTTCGCTTTCGCATAACCTACAATAATATTGTCGGCTTTGAAACATGTTCCAAGGAAGAAATTTTGACGGATATGGTCCTTCTAACACATATAACAAAAAGATTTCCAGCATTTCAAGAACTACCGGAAGGGGAATAGACTTTGACTGCATGAAGCACTACTTAACATCGCACTTCGATCAATATGTATATTGCTCACATAAATCCACATGGTGCTGAAGATGAACCCTTCGACGTCAAAAGCTAGTATAAGCTTTTGAATACACTACAATCCAAAATATTACCACACTACATGAGGAGCTCCACGAGAGTCAGAGTCGTCACACCTCATCACTTTCGGGTGTCAGATTGATTGAAGTTATATAAGCTCTGAGAAGATGGCTGTTCGACTGCTTTAGCAGCGCTGAAAATCATTGAAATCATCAATTCACTCACTCGCTCACTGAGCTTTCCTGCCCTGGCGCGGTCTTTTGAATTCTGTAATGATATGATAACTGCTGTTTAACGTCGCAGTACGCGTTCCGAATGTTATCACAAGAATGCTGAGTTGTGGGCAAAAGTCGTGCCCCAGGCGGGAGTCGAACCCGCACCTCAACATTCGGATCGAGTACTGCGGCGTTAAACAGCAGTTATCATAACAAAACAGCTTCAAAAACTTGTAAAGCCTTCGGCCTTGCGGTTCCATGCCGATATCTAACGATTACGGCTGACCGGCTCACCAAGTTAAACGTGTGAGTGCTGTAAGGTTACGGCATAAGCCGTGCGCACGATGTGCGGGTTCGACTCCCGCCTGGGGCACGACTTTTGCCAAAAACTCAGCATTCTTCTGACAACATCTGTAATTATTGTCACCAGTCGGATCGCCCGGCTAACGCCGAGCTCTCCTCCTTCTCTTTAGCTCGGCTTCGCCGAGCTGGCCTGGCTTCGCCAGGCGCGCTCCATAATTTTAACGGAGCCTTTTTAATAGTGGGCTGCTCATACGGCGCTGTAGGAATCGAATCGTAACAGATAGAGCAAGGCTTAGGATCCTGCACTACTTAGCATAGTGTAGTCGGAAAATACAGCGCAATGTGAATCACTCAGTAGAAGAACAGATTTCGTTTACATCACCTGCACCGAAATGCCTACCGATGAATGTTCCCCTTTTCAATTAGCATGCGGTCCTTCTACTCAGCGTGCGCTGCGCTCACCGTCCCCTTCACCGTACACCCCCCTCTACTTCCTTCACATGCACATGCTCAGGTCCAGCTGAGCACGTACAGGGGAAGGAGGGTAGGGGTGTGCCCCCCCCCTTGGCTCCACCCCACCCTGCCCCCGCACGAGCCACGTCCAGCTGCCACGCCAGCAGCTCGTGCAATGGCTCGGAGTGTACCGAATGGTTGTCTTATATAGTGCTGTTATCACAATCAAAACATTGGATTGATACATCTGCACCAATCGATTTCCGGTTTGCCTAGCGGTCGTTTTTCCCTCCAGTAATTCGAACCCGTGAAACATTTTGCGGACGGACAGACATACATACTTACATACATACATACTTACATACATACAGATCTCATCATAGCAGACCGGTGGGGCGGTGCGTGTGACTCGGTTGTGACCGCGACTGTTCATCGTTGCGACACACGTCACAGCGAGTCACCAACGCACGCCCACCGTCTGCAATGTATGAGGAACTGTACATTACTTACATTACATACAACGACACTACAAAAAGGTTACTGGCTCTTATAAAATGAAAGGATTATTGTCTTCTTGAACTACTCTATTACTTTCGGCCCTAAAACACTGAAACCGAACATTGCGCTCGGAAATGGTTGTGTCGCTGTCATGTGGACGGAATGGGTCTCATCTTTGGAGCTTGGGGCTTATTGCGCCCCAAGCGTGCCCTTCGGTAGGACTATCCTTCCAACGTTCTTATTCAATCTGCGGTTTCATAAACTTTTCATGATCTACATGTAGCAAATACTCCTTAGAGCAGTTGAAAGTATGGAATAAAGTGGGGATGACTTAGAAGAAGAAAGGATGTCGCTTAAACGTATTATTTGCAGTTTATAAATATCTAGCTACTCACCTGCCGTTCTGCCAATCGTGCGTATTCGATCAACCAGTCACGGTTTCTACATTCCTCTTGAATTATCTCGAGAAGAGATTGAATATGAATTCCAAGGTGAGATCTCACACGTTGTGTGTTTGTCTGGATGTAAGCAAAATGTCACACACTGCTTCTTCTTTGGAAGCGCCCCATATTCAAAGGAAAAATCTCAAAACATCAAATAGCAGGCACACGTAAAAAGGCAAAGCAAATACATGGCCGCACCCGATAAGAGCTGTGAGCACAAAGCTTCTACTGCATAAATTTCTTGAAGTATTACGGAGTTTTTCTATCCATCGAAATTGGAGCCCTATCATGTACCACCTCACCGCGGTGATAGGGTGTACACCACTAATGGTGGCCAACGGTACAACGGCTAGCAACGCACAAGTAATTGTTGTGTATGGGCGCTTTCTCTGTATCCCTTAGCAAGGTAACAAGGCTGATAGTAACCTTAGTAACCTAAGCCACTTCTTCTGCTCAAACAGCTTCAATAGCGCCCCAGTCCTGCGTACATCGGATATGCTCTTCTACGACGTCGGGAGTTGCCTCTACCGATGAGGGGCCATCTAATCTCGTCAGGGAGGAATCGGACGTCATCAGAATAAATTCGGCAAACCCCACGGAAACTCCCCCACCCAACGACACAAGGACTGCCTCTTCGTCTGCTCGTATAATTGTCGGACTATAGCATCGGATGCTGACCTCCGAACACTTCTGCTGAGGAGTCGTCAGATCAAGTACGATGTTATCGCTATACAAGAAACGAAGGGCAGAACGGAAACCATTAGGAAAACCGATTTCACAACGAGAGCTGCTTATTGTTGACAAGGTGGATCGCTAAGAAATCGTCGGCGGAGTTTGATTTCTCAATAAACCAGGCATGTCCATATAGTAGATAGAACTCTCACAAAAATCATCAGTCCACGACATCCATTTTCTACCGCTTGTGACTCTTGACAAAGATTCAATGACCATATCCATTATCAATGGATATGCACCCACTTCCACCGCCAGTGACGAAGAACGCGATCAACGCGAATTTTACCAGCTTCAGGAAGATACGATTCAGAATGAGAGAACTAACTTACAAGATTATGTGGTTGGTGACTCAATGCAGTATAGGCAACCGAACCACAACAGGCATATTTGGCACTCGGGACCCCATGGAGACGAACAACGAACAGAGAACGGAAGAAAGCGGTTGCTGACTTGCTGTCTGCATGTCGCCTTTATCACGGAAACTCTATGTTCGAGAAGCCGACTGGACGGCGATGGACCTGGGAAAGTCCAAATGGAGAAACGCGCAAGGAAATCGATCACATCCTAACCAATCGTTCGTGATCGAGCCTATTCGACGATCATGCTTGCTGACCTCAATTCAGATACTGGCCTACAGACCACCGTTTATACCGTGAACAAAGTATTTTGTCTCAAGAAAGAAATTATTTTAAGCCCACAGGTCATAGGGCCCTTACCCCTTCGAGCGAATCCCTCCTACAACACTGAGCAATTGGGAGCTTGCATTGAGGCCCATAACTGGCATTTGCTGGACGACCCATCAGAAGATCAATCAGATTCCAGCCCAAGCTCAATGAGCATTCGCAAACCACTTTGTTGACGAAAAAACGGAGAGGCAATGAAAAATCCACCCAGCATTGCCACGCACTTGAAAACTTTACCATCAACCAAGCGCATGCCCGTTTGAACGTCCAAGAATCACTCCGAGTACAGAGAATCCTTGACTTGCTGAAGGGCAGGCAGAAAAAAAAGATCCGGAGCATTCAAACGCTAGCCAACCGAGATCTGTTAACGATCAAAAGAAATGTCATTTCAAGCTCTTAATGACAAATATGGCAAGGATACAAAGCATCTGAGAGAACTCTATCGAAGTGAAATCCGTTAGTGGTTTCTACACGAATCTCTTCCGCTCTTCCACAAACGTCCCTAGATGCTCTGCACCGCCTGCTGAAGATCCCCCTCCTATTCTGGAAGCGGAAGTTGCAAATGCGATCAAAAAGATGACAAGAAAGGAAACATGCTCCTGGACCGATTCGGCATATCTGCCGATCTTCTTCGTGCAGGAGGAAAGTCCCTTCACACACTCCTCGCAGAGCACTTCAGTCATTACCTGCAATTAGGAATGATTCCAGAACAGTGGAGAGAATCGAGAACAGTTCTTCTGTTTAAAAAAGGTCAGAGAGAGGAGATTGCCAACTACCGACCTATCAGTCTGCTCTCGACAATTATAAGTCAGTTCACCGAATAATACTGACTTCAACGTAATGAACGCATGCTGTAGACGGATCATATAACCACACAGAGCAGAGCCGGCTTCCGCAAGAACTTTGCTCCATGTATGACAACATACAGCAGTAACACAGCCTCAATAGAAGGAGCGCGATATACCATCTTCCACTTGTCCTCGTCTTTGTGGACTACAAAAAGGGCCTTCGACTCAGTGGAGGTTAATGCTGTTCTCAACGCCCTTGAGCGAGCCGGAGTACCCTCTGCCTACATTCACCTGCTCGAACAGAGTTTATAAAAATCGAACCACAACAAGCCCTGCATAACTGTTCGACCGCAATGGAAATGCCCATTGAGAAAGGGTACGCAGGCCAGGGGGACCATATCCCCGAAGTTATATCACACCGGCAGGCACTACAGTATGCGAATGTCAACCTCAACGAGGATGAAAACGGATACTGAATTGACGGGGAAAAGGACAAGCAACTCCGTTTTGCAGCAATGATTCGTCGGCATATCCGAATAACACAGTCTCGAAATGAGAAAAAGGATGGTATAACGATGCTCTCGACATGACATGGATCCCAAAGATTGGCTCTTGGAAATGAATATGTCCAAAACGAAAATGATGGTGAACCACTGGTGTGATGCGGGAACCGTGAAACTGGCAGGAGTTGCTCTCGAAAGAGTGGATTCCTACGTTGAGAAGAGAGCTAAACATGCCGAACAACATCTCTGCTGAAATAAGCCGCAGGAGGCGTGCAGCATGGGCAGCTTTTGAAACGATTCGTGAAGTAACGGAGCAAATTAAGGACCCTAACCTAAGAGCCTCGATATTCGACGCCACGGTGCTACCAGCAATGTGTTGCCGGGCCGAACACCCTGTGCCGCTGAAACAGGACAAATCACCAAGCATACTGCAAACTACCGCATCGATGCACTTGGAGAGATCGTCTTTGAGGCTTCGGCCCGCCGCCAGCGAATGGGAACAAGGTCTCACGAATACAGATCTAAGGAGCGTCGAGATTGAAACGATCCGCTGCACAGATAATGGCGCAGTGCAAACACCGCTGGGCTGGTCACTTGCTCCGCCGCAATGATGACAGATGGAGTCTCCGCATCACAGAATGGCTCCCAAGGAACGCAAAACGGCCTCTGGGACGACCACCAACGCGTTGGTCCGACTCGTTTTTGAAATATTTCAGAGAACGTCCACCACATTCGGTATGCGTCAGCTAGCGCCAGATAATGTTGCGTTATGGAAAGCTGTGGTCCCCGCTGAAAAGATCAAGCCAGTTGAAGACCTCAAAGATAATAAAGTAAAGTACAGTAGTAGCGAAATTGCAATCCATATTCACCAAATCACCGCTCAATTGCGGAGTGGAGCGATTTATCTTAGTGACCACGCGGCTGGGATACGTTGTGAATTCCTCTAAAGCCATATTTATAATGCTCACCACCGGTCCAAGAATGTAATCTCTACAAGATTTTCGTTTCCACAATCAGACTGAATGAAAGAACATTCCACCGCACCAATAGTTAGGCCACAACCGACAGACGATGCCATACAACACCCGAGGCGAAGCAGGCTCGCCTCAAACGATCTAAAGACCAGGTTACTCGGTAAAGTGGGCATCTAAGGTGCATATCAACGTAAGTTGTTGTAAGGAAGGAAACTATTCTGCCGTCTGCCAAAAACAAAATAGGTGAATCGACGGCCCTCTTCTCCCGCTATTGTCTGAAAAGCATCAGCCTCCGGAAGGTTGAGTGAAATATTTTGAAGATACACTAAGAACATAAACACCTTCAAGGAGCACAAACAGTTCTGAGAGGAACTCATAGTTAGGGATTTCAGTTCAGCGTGCAAGCTTCATGGGATCGAAGAACTGCTACACTTGAAAGCCACCAGAATGAAGATTAGTTCAGTCGAGAGAAGAGCGTTTTTTAAAACATTTTCTACTCTTGCATGGATTCTCCACCCTTTAGTACCAGATCGTTGCATCATAGATTTCGACATCATCCAGCCTGAGCCATCAAATCACACGTATTACAGTAAATTACCGATTCGATTTGATGAACTGCTCATGCAGAACAGATATAGAGAAGGACATCGTTGGTGTTAAAAAACTTGCGGATCATCGTCCGCAAATCCTCTTATGCTGCCCTTTTTTCAGAAAGGGCATTAGTAGCGTTGTAAGAAGGTCGGACCTCCATTCATCTTTCACTCGGGCCGCTTAGGACTCTTCAAGACAAACTGTGCACTAACCTTCATAGATCCTGGCCATGCCGTGTGTAAGTTAGATGCTTCCGAAGCTGCAGTAGCGTGGCACGTTCTTCGGTCAAAAATGCACGCGAGCAGGGCTGAAGGGTTGTGGCACCCTATCGCCGACTCCATACTATTTATAGCCAAATGTGCCACTTGCCAGCGCTCTATCACCTCTGCTTGTTCTCTTGAGTACGCGTTTCAACGCGGAACTATGGCATCGAAGAAAGTCCTGCATGGTCTTCAAGGACCCATCCTTTTAGCACTACACACAAGAAGTGCAGCCGAATATAGCGCAAAAATTTCGTGAATCCGGTAGGAAGTAAGCATGGGAAATAAAGCTTGGACACCACCGATAAGCGAGAGGAAGAATGAAAAAAAGTGGCGAGAGGACTTATTAAAATAAAATTCCGCACAATGTACAGAACCACGACGACATGATAAAATGAAGAAATCAAATTACAATGTACATCTGAAGTGGCTCTAACTTTATCTCCCTACTTAACTCCAGCCTTTCATATTCACTCGTGGTTGTAAGATGACATCTAGAAGATGCACCTGTGTGTTATTACTTTCCCATGTCCTATCTGCCGCCTTACCCTTTACTGCTGGTTCGAAGAGCTGGTCAATAACAGAGAGCTGATCAATAACAGTTCTTCAAAAGAGAGTTCCTATTCAACTTTCAAACTCTTATCGAAATAATGAATCCCTCAACAAACAACAACAAAAAACCACTGTGTCATTTCGTTATCAGCATAAGCAAGCTGAAGAAGGGAAAAGTCTCCGTAGTGCCACAAGAGATCTTACCGCGTGACCTGTCCTTTTTTGATGACATTTGGTGATGGCAATCGTGTAAAATATCGAGCATAATACTGTAACGACTCCACTTCTTGCACACGCATTAGCAAAAAATATCCTTAACTGAATCTGTGCCTGTATTCTCCCATTCATTTGTTTCATTTATGTATCTTTTCATAAGCATACATGATCAGCTCCACTTGTCAAGCAAAAAATCTATCTTCAGTACAGGTAAAGAAGTGGATAGTGTCTCTATAAGAGACGAACAGCGGCAGATGTGAAACAATAGAAAAGTGTCCAAACATAAGAGGCTTTTGAGCACTCTTGCGCGGTTCCACACCTGCAATTTACAGTGATTCCACTTGAAACCTGTCACAAATATATCAACTCATTTGTTTCGGTGCTATACTAACGGTAAAGGACGGCAACACTGAAACTTTCACTGGAACATATACAGCTTTCAGGAGAGGTTTTTTTGGGCAAAAATGAGACACTCGTTTGACCTTAATCAGGCTTTACTTTTATGCTACATGCGCTTCAATTACGCAGCACGCACTTCTGGAACTCGTAGTGACAATTGAACTGTTATGTCTCACAGGTCCTAGGAAAACGCGACGAACAGCAGCAGCGAAAAAGTGTTGGAACAAGAGAACAAGTGACATTTCCTACAGTTCTCAAGTGCTTGTTCTCTTTTGAATAAGGAAGGATAGAAACGCTGTTTATTAGTTTTATTTATTTATAAATTAACGTTTTTAGTTTGCCTTAGTGGAAGTGGTGTAGTGATGAGGTGCCACCCAGCACGCGCGGGTCCGAGGAGGAAAGTGAACTGAACTTACATCGCGTTACTGTATGGACAATATCGCATTAAAAAGCCGTTACCATTTATTCTGAACGGAGGGTGGGTCGCATCTTAAGAGGTGGAAGTGTATAATTTTTGAAATATTACACGTTGAGCTGTTCTGGTGCAGTGAAAATCCGAATCCTCCAATCGGCCGCTACAGTACAGGGATATGTGCGTCATTTGCGTACGCATCGACATGTTAAGCGATTATTATTTATTCTCAGTTGCTCACTGAGCGATGGTTTAGGCTTGTATAGGTGTTACTACCCGCTATTTAGACTCACTCTATTCCCTTTTTGTCCCCTCTTTTCATAGCCTCAAAAACTCGGAATATAATTCATTCATATTCTTCGCAGTTCTGTCCCGTCCACTTTAAACCAACCGTTATTTTTCAGCGCCGCATGTTATGGTGTACTTCACCTGAGAAAACGAAAGTACCACTTGCAATTACAAATGATGTGGCAAAACTAAGAAAGCGCACGACGTTCGCTTGCTTCTTCCCCGCTACTGCACTGTATGTCTTATCCCACCCCAGAAATAATTAAGCAATTAAGCGAGCAGAACATAGGATATTTCGGACGAGGGTACTTGAAATCTAGTCAGGAATTCGTTAATTGAGAATGGTCACGACTTCCACCTATCACTGCCCTGTTTTGGCCCTAATTGGCGTGAACATGCAATGATGTCTACTCACCGCTTCATGATTTTGTGGCATGAAACGCTGCCATTCGATTCAGAGCTATAAAAATGTGGCCACAGACAATTACTGAGTTTGAGTTTACCATGTTTGTGTACGAAATAACAGCGACAGTGTGCATTTTGTCCATTGGGAGGTTGAAATAGTTATAAAATCCTGGTTTCCCTAGCACCTCAAGAGAAAAGAAGGCATAAAAATCGGCAGCAGCCTGCAGTAGGAAAAGTAGGTAGTAGGATGTCCTGAAACTGTCGTTTGTTTGAATTAGGCCTGGCGTCGCCATACCATAAGTTTGAAGACTAGAATACGAATACATACACATAGAGATCCAACTGTGGATGGACAGAATTGCCTGTCCCGTAGGAATTTTGCCCATATTTCTGAATTTATATTCATCCTATTCTCGAGTGTTGAAGTAACTGAAATGAAACATGTCCTAAGGCAAAAAAGACATGTTTCTGGTTTTTTAATCACGCGAGCTCTTTTAGCAAGGACACTCACCGGGACAGCTGCTTGATTTCGGATACTATGATGCGATGGTTGCACAATTTACTAAGTTTTCTTGAGGCAAACAGCGAAGTTCATGGGGAAGCATCAGTACATGCTTGGAGATTATGAATCTTCTTCTTTCGCACAGGTAATCTAACCTATGCCTCCCGCATACCGATGCTCACGCGAGAACCACACCCTTTCAAGAACATCTGACGAAAAGTCATTTTTCGGTATACATGAGGTAACCCACGTTTGCATGATAATTGTTTCGTGGTACAAGTGGAGCCACATAACATCAAACGTGGTAAGGGTAAACACAACACCTTTATTGTATTATCGTTTACCAGTCGGCTCGCCGGCTAACGCCGGCGCGCCTCCTTCTGATACGGCCCGGCTGCGCCGGGCGGGCGCGGCTTCGCCGCGCGTATTTTCTTTCACATATTTCTAGACTCAACTGATATCCGCCTTTTGTTCTGTACTCCACTTTTTTCCGGTGTCTGAAGTACTCTTGAGCTATTTTACAGATTCTTCGTCTGACTCCGCCCACCTCAGAGCAGACCCCGCCCACAATTTTTGTGCCCCACAATCTCACCGACGACCCTCTGCTGACCTTCTTCACTTTTTTCCGATGTCTGGAGTGTTCTGGTACCTCACAGGATCGGCTTTCAATTAATCTCGGCATCAGAGACGTAATAATTCAGAATGTTTCTTCAGCCTCCCGAGATTTGTACAGATATTTTATTGGACTAACGTTTCGGCGAACATCGCCTTCTTCGGAGCCTGCAAGTCGAAACCTATCATCGAAACAATTCATTCAAGCACCATTTCTAATTACAGTAAGAAACTACGGGCTAGGATATCTTAGAACTAAGTCGAAAGCCACCAACCTTTTGACGGGTAGAACTTCTACCGGGCACTCTGAGTTTCGAGACTACAAGACGGTAGCTTATATATGGTTTTAATAACTCTGAGTGACGGGTCAGAGGGCTTGAGGGAACATACAAAGGGCATGCCATCCGCTGTAATTAGGACACAAACCTTAAGGAACCAATTTGAAACGCAGAGGTCGGTCCTCCGCTGAAGCGTGAAGAACCAGCCTCTAGGGGAACTGTAATTTGAAAATTTCGAATTTTGTTCTGGAACCGTTCTACAGAATCTGGCCCCGCCCACCTCGAAGCAGGCTCCGCCCCCAATTTTTGTGCCCCACAATCCTCACTGGCGACCCTCTGCTGACCTTAATCCACTTTTTTCCGGTCTTCGGAGTGCTCTGGGACCGTTTTGCAGATCTTTTGTCTGACTCCGCCCACCTCGAAGCAGGCTCCGCCCCCAATTTTTGTGCCCCACAATCCTCACTCCGACCCTCTGCTGACCTTAGTCCACTTTTTACCGGTATCTGGAGTGTTCTGGAACCGAGCTACAAACTTTTAAAATGAATACCCTGCGATTTAGGGCAAGCTCCGCCCACTGTGGGCGGGTCTCAACACACTTTGAGCGTGCCCTATATTCGCCAGATATTTACATTCTACACTGAGTTTTTTGCGACTTCCAAACACTCTCGCGAACCGGGTTACTGAATTTTGCGAGAAGCACCGCCCACCTTGAGTACGCCCCGCCCATTTAGGGTGTACCTGCCACAGTTAGTCTGGCGACTCCTTACTAACCTTATTCCCTTTTTCCCCATCTTTAAGCTGCTCCGGAAGCGAATTATGAACATTTTTCTGCGGAACCCCAAACTTTCGGCGAGTGCCCCGCCCACTGTGGGCTTCCCATAGGTCAAGTGTGCTTTTTATTTCTTGTCCCATGCCCTACCTATCCCCACCTTGACTGGACCTCTCCAAGTCGTTCTTCAGGTCGAACCGAATTTCCGGACAGACAAACTTACAAACTTACAAACTTACAAACAAACAAACAAACAAACAGACAAAGCAAATTGTATGTATCAGAATCATTAAAACAAATAGTTCATAGGCACTCGCTCAGCCCTTGTATCAGATCCTTTATTGGTGCGCTTCGGCGATAACGTCACCACACCTTCGAATTACAATACTTAGCGACCTGAAGCTTCCAGTCGATTGATTACCCAGAAATTAAGACAAGCGAGCAGCTACAAGACCTCCTGAGGCTAATCACACGATAACCGTGGTAACAGACGACTGACTGATGACGACTGTAAATGAAGACGAGACTACCTTGACGCTGTGGGCAGTCTCGTCTTCATTTACAGTCGTCATCAGTCAGTTGGTTAGGCGGCCAATGGATCGCGACGCGGCTGCGGCTTGTCACGACCGCGGCGATCGATCAACTGTTCCCAGCCAGGAACTATTTTCCCCCCAATTTTCACTGTAGTTTCTATTTTTTCAAGGTAAGTTGTGTTCTTGCCTTTATAAAGTCTATTAGGACGCGAATTTTGTTTTTGCGATTTTTTAGGTATTTGTTTGTTTGTTTAATTGTTTGATTGTTCGCAAAAATTAGAGAAATCTCAATCATAATTTACCTTGTGAAGACAAGGAACAACTAACCTCAAGAAAAGCAGCCAAAAACAGTGAAAATTAGGGAGAAAATGGCTAAACCAGGCTGGAAACAGCTGATCGCCGCGGTCGTGACTTGCCGCAGCCGCGTCGCGACCCTTTGGTCGCCTAATCGAGTGCCCGGATGACGACTGTATACCGCCGTACCGGGCATCCCTCTCGTAGTGGGCATGATGCTAATGTTGATGTATCTGTTGTGGCTGCAAGTACCTAAAGTATTGTAATTTGAAGGTCTGATGACGGCGAAAACTCACCAATAGAGGATCTAATACAAAAGCACCGAAAGCACCTATACAAATGTGGGCGATGAAGTGCAGGAATGCAGCATTCCACGATATCAAAACAAATTCATTCCACGTCATCAAGCCGTGCGGTGGCGTTTTCTATCTGCTCCGCGAATTCTTCTGCTAGGTACGGATTTTTTGGTTTATAATTAATTTTTTCTTCGATTAAAGCCACTTTTTCCTTCCCTGTGTCCTGGTATTTTCGCGGGGTGATCTCTTGTAACTTCCAACCCTATTTTTCTTGCCTTTCTATCGGGTATTTCAATTTTATTCGGTGTTTCTTTTGAGAGGTGCTTTAATCGATTCCCAATGGCTCGCGGTGGATCACAACGCAAGTCTTCAGATCAGGAGAGGGAACTCCCCCAATGGGCCACCATGATGATGGACCTCTACGCTTCGTGCGCAGATCGACTGGAAAAGGCCCTGACGACCTCTCTCGCTAAGCTGGCCGATAGGATCGACGAAATGAACACGCGCCAGAACGAAATATTGTCTCGTCTTGCAGCTCTTGAAGATTCTATTTCCGGATTACAGGTGTCGTGCTCTCTGGATCAAAAACTTCTCTATTCTACCATCGTTAAAGTGAAAGCAGATGGTGAGAAAATAGATGATAAACTTAAACGTATTACCTGGATCGGTATAGGGGAGCAGGGCGACGAGACTGCGACGAGGAGATTCGACATGGAGGCTTTGAGAGAAGTGATTTTCTCTTCAGGTGATGAGCAGCTCATAGAGGAGCTCTCCAAAGGAGGCATAACCGCCCGACGCTACCCACCTGAGAGGATAAAAAGTGCGAACGGCCGTGATCGTATCATCAAGATCGAGTTACCCTCACAGGCTCTACGGGACAAA